CGCCCCGGGACCCATTCACTACTAGTGGGGGGTACTGCACTTGGCGCGTCGGGCAGATCAAATAATGGTCTAAAGCTAGACGTTAAAACCGGGAAGTTAAGCCTGTGGAGGCTCTTCCCCACCTTTACCTTTACCTTTCCCGCCGCCTGGAGCTGCGCGAGCTGGCGCCGCTCTCGCGCTGCCGCCAGCTGTGGTCGGGCCCCACTCGGCCCACCAATGGTCGGATCAGGCCCTTTGTCTCTGTGATTTCTGGGTATATTGCACAAGTTCGCGTGGCCAGACATGCGGGGGCAGCTTGCGAGAAGCATTGGCAAGACGGTGAGGTTCCGCGCTTGTCGCTGCTTGGATCCTCAATTATGAGTCCTGGCCGTGGATCGGATTGCCTGTCTGGCCCTGCTACCCTCGTTGGTGGAATCGATCGGCACTTGCTCTCCTTCCTTGCAGGTGCCAGGCCGCCTGGGCTGCTCTGCGCTGTCGAGCAGGCAGCAGGGTGCATCTGCGCGGCGCCAGCCGCGCACAGTGCCCTCGGCGGCGCGGGCGGAAAGCCAGCAGGCGGGCCCCGCCGCGGCAGAGAAGCAGGCAGAGAAGGAGGAGCCGCAGCGCGGACACCAGGCGCCCCAGAACAGCGCCGCCAACCTGGAGGTGAGCAGCCGGCTGTGGATTGGGGGGGTGGCAGAGGGGGATATGGCGCCCGCTCAGTGCTTCACGCTGCCGCCGCCGCTACTCCCCTCGGTTTCGATGCCCCTCAGCTGTTGGCCTGACAAGGGAGCGACATCCCGCGTGTTCCTCCAGGCCACCGACCCCGAGATCCTGGCCTACCGCGAGCACCAGCAGACGGCGGCGCGGATCAGCCTTGCGGAGGAGGCCAGGACGCTGGTGGCGCTGGGCAAGTGCGTGGGGGCCCGCCGTGCTGGCTGCGCCACCGCCACCGCCCCGGCCCCCCTGCGTCTTCACCCTTGCAGGCCTCACACGCGTGCCGGTGTGCGTGGCGTGCGTTGCACAGGTTTGGCGTGCTGTCCACCAATGCGCGTGGGGAGCTGGAGGGCTACCCCAGCGGGTCGGTGGTGGAGTTTGCGGCAGACTCGAAGGTGCGCCCCGCTGGCAAGCTGGCGAGGCTAGCAGTCCGGCCAAGCTTTGGGCAGCATGCATGGCAGGCGGAAAGGATTGCCCCATTGCTGCGACGCCTGGCTCCGCCCTAGTGAGGAGCAGGGTTTGCCAGCCAGCCCGAGCTCGCCTGCGCGCCTCTCCCTCGCGGGGCCCTCGTGCTCCGCCGCCCTGCAGGGCCGCCCCGTGTTTGCCTTCTCCACCATGAGCCCCCACACCGCCGACATCAAGAAGGACGGGCGCTGCTCATTCACCGTGATGGCAGAGCCGTTCAGGGTGCGTCGTCGCCCTTCCCCTGCCTGAAGAGCTCCTTCAGACGGTGGGCTGCACGCCTCATTGCCTGCTGCCGCCGGCCAGCGAGGGTGGCCGTCACAGCGCCTCAGCCGCTGCCCCTGCAGGGCATCGCCGACGGGCACGTCACGCTGATTGGCAAGGCGGCGCCCATCTCCAACGAGGAGGAGCGGGCTGCAGCCAAGGAGGTTTACATGTCGAAGCACCCCAGCAGCGTTTGGGTGGGTGGGGCTGGAACCCGTTTGTTGTCTGGGTTGGGGTGAGAGGGGGCAGGGGCAGTTTTCAGGCAGACCAATACCTGCCGATTGGGGACTAGTTGCTGAGGCTGGCTGGCTGCTCACTCGCTCCTTGGGACTGCCTCTTTGGGGCATCTGTTGCAAATGATGTGGTGGGGGACTCAGCATGCCTTTTGACCTTCTCTCCCCCCGTCTGTCTCTGCAGGTTGAGTTCGGAGATTTCGGCTTGTTCCGCATGAACGAAATCGTGTCGGCGCGCCTGGTTGCGGGCTTTGCGCCGTCGGGCAAGGTGCGCGGGCCTGGCGTTTGCGGTCCTGCCGCGAGCTGGCAGCTCCGTGGACAGTGGTGTGCCGCCCTAGCCTGCACCATTCACCCCACACTGACCCCGCCCGCTCGCCCCGCATGCACTGCAAGCAGATCACAGAGGAGGAGTATGGCGCCGCCCAGCCCGACCCCGTGGCGCCCTTCTCGGCGCCGGTGGCGGGGCACATGAATGCCGACCACGCCGAGGCCACGGTGGCGATGATGAAGCATTACGTGGGCATCACAGGTGAGAAGGGGGTCTTGGGACCAGGCATGCCTAGTGGCAGCTTTCTGGGGTGGGGAGTGCTGTGCGGTATTGGATGGATGCTGCTCTTTTTCAGTCGGTCAGTGCTCCAACCCCTGGTACACTCTGCTAGTGTTGCAGTGCTGTGATCCCCACCTGCCTCTGTCGTGTGCACTGTGTTGCCCCCGCAGTGAGCAAGGCCGCTATCATGTCCATCGATCGCCTGGGCATGACTGTCTCCTGCGAGCGCGGCCAGGACCAGTTCAAGGCGCGGCTGCCCTTCCCGCGCCCCGCCACCGACCGCAAGAGCATCAAGGAGCTGATTGTGGAGATGACGCGGGCGGCGGCGGTGGCGCAGAGCTGAGCGCCTGGCCTGGAACCGTGTCCTCCCTTCCAGATTTCATCTCATATATTCACGCTTGCTTGCTTTCGGAGCCCCTTCAGCTTTCTTTCTTTCAGAGCCCCCACAGACCCTTCGCATCTGATGACTGACTGTTCTAATATCGCATCTGATGAGTGGCTGTTCTAATAAATCTACAACTCTGTGTCGTCGACTGCGAGCGCTCCTGCCATTTCTGCCCAGCGTTTTTACACCAGTCAGCATGATGGGCCCCACACCAGGTGCAACGGCCGCCCACGCTCTCACGTCGCTGCTAGCTGCCGCCAGTGGCCACCGGCCGCTGGCAGCGGCGCCCCAGAGAGGAGCGAGTCTGCCCCCACTGCCACGACGGCATTGAGGATGCCCCCACATGCTCCTGGTCTGCCCGTTGTACGCCCCCCTGCGCCTCGAGTTCCCCGACCTGTTCTCTGAGCCCCTGCCTCCCCACCGCTTCCTCCTCTAACCCCCGGCCCGCGTCACTGCCATACCTGGGGGTTGCCATACCTGAATTGGCGGAAGCGCTCCTGGAGCGCCATGTTGCCTCGTACACGCACGCATCCGTGAAGGTGCAGCGGTACATTGAGGACGTGTGGGGGGGCAGCATCTCTGCGGAGGCCTACACGCCTGCGTCGATCCTGTGCGATGTGCCCGAGCGCCGGCGCCGGGTGCGCCTGGCGCAGTGGCGCACGGGGTCGCACTGGATGGCTGAGGAGACAGGCCGGTGGCAGCGGCTGGACCGCACCCAGCGCCCATGCCCCCACCGCCAGGCCCCTCTAGAGGACGTACGCCACGCAGTGTATGACTGCCCCCTATACGCTGGGCTGAGGGAGGAGTACGCTGAGCTCTTCCACAGTCCCGGCCACGCCTTGCCCTCCCTGGCCGCCTTCCTCGGCCAGGCCAGGCAGGGCCGGCTGGCCCGGTTTGCCGACCGGTGCCATGAGGAGCATGCTGCTGCCCTGGCACAGTGACTCCCCCGGTTCCCTTGAGTAG